GTGTTATGTCAATCTGGTTTCAATTTTCTTCCTGTTTCTCCGATGTAGAATTCTGGGCAGTTATTGCATGTTATTTTGTAAATGACGTTGGTATTGTGTGATTCTTCATTACCCATTCAAGCCGTGTCCAACCATTATTAATCTCAAAGTGGGTTTATCGTCATCGAATGAGTTAGTGTATGTTTCATTATTGACTAATAATGATTGAGACATTTCAGTTGTTTTGGGTTTTTCAACATTTTTGTTAAACCATTAATGTAAACATCTGTTATTGATATCAGATGTAAGAGTATTAGTTTTAGATGGAATTGCAGTACATTTAACAAGAAAAAAATATGTTAATATAGTCTAATATTAATAATTAAACTACACTTTATCAACGCCAGTGTTTTTTACTTTTATTTTTAAATTATTTCTTTTACTTTTAGTAGGAAGTTTTGCCAAATTTTAAATAACAAAAATAATTTTTAAAAATTACAGATGAATTCAACAGTAAAAATTAGTAGATTTACACTGCAATTTGAATTACGTAGTCTATAATTAACAAAAAACAATTAATAATTGAACCAGTAAATTGACCTTTCACACCACATGAACATCTAAATGATTCTATGCAAATAAAATTACTTTTCTGATAACCTGAGAGTGAAACATTGTACAATTCTTGTGACAAGGTGAGATGAAATGTAATCCTAATAAGACATTTTAACTTAAAACCTATATGCATGAATTTATATTATATTGATAACTGAAATTAAAAATGAAGTATTAACTTACATATCTACCTATTAAAGTAAAGGAGATATTTTGTATTCACATTGGTTTCATGATTTGGCAAATGTGTGTCTGTCATAACATAAAGCAAACTGTTGTCAAGGCAATGTATCATCTGCTTACAATTCCAATTCATCTTTTGGTTTGACATACGTTCAGTTGGAATTGTGCAAACATATATATATCATCTTATGAATTATCAAATAAGGACCACAAAGTTCATTTGTATGGCTGCAGTTGCTTCTAGTTATTTCTTTTCTCAATTACATAATAATGGCTTATCTTTTATTTGTTTAAAAGTTCAATGCATCTAATATGCCAAGAACATTATAAGATTACATTTAATGTGGCATTAAATCTAAACCAAGAAGAGTTTATCTTTTTAAAAAAATGTTATAATACAACCTATTCAAATAACTAATGCAAGTATGGAATTTGGACAAATTTAACTTATATTCACCACTTTTTCACAGACACAAGTTTATACCACTGTACTTATTTTTAGTTACTTGTAAAAGCTCAGTAGTACTTTTCATCATTCTAGTTGTTCAGTGTTATGGTAATAAAATTGAATTAAGAAAACTCCACACAGTCCTTCAAATAATTCTTAATTAAAGAAATAATAATGATATGAAATATTTTGTGTTTGTAAGAAAATTATAGTTGGGTTTTTGGTCAAGCTGGTGTGATATAGGAACTAAAATGTCAAAGTTTGTTTTAAAAGAAAATTTACAATAGGGCAATATGTCAAAATGCTACCAACTGTGATGCAGTCATATTGATTTATTGAATACATTTAATAATGCTCTCTGTGAAATGTAAATTAAAAAGAAAAATGTTACAAATTTTTCTTGTTTTGTAACTTTTTTGCTAAATATGAATTCTTTGCTACTTTTATAAATTAAATAAATCCATGTATAAACGGATATACGTGTGTATATATATATATATATTTATATATATGTATGTATGTGTGTGTGTGTGTGTGTGTACAAATGAAAAAATGTAACACTTTAAAATGTTTTAAAAACTCTATTACTGTTAATTTAAAACAAGTAAATAAAAATGCATACATAAAATAATAAATACCAGTTTTGTATCTCCCAGATTTCTTTAGTTTCTAAAATAAGGCCCTCTCTAACAAGACCTACTTAAGAATGTAAAACTTCACATGTTTTGACATTAAAGCTTTATATATGTTTTAAACTCTCTCTCTCTCTCTGTGTTAAACTATATAACATATAAGGTGGTTTTAAATTTATTAGTAAAATAATTTTTAGAAAATAATCTTTAAAAAATTCATAGAATAAAATGGAAGATTTTTTAACAAATTTGAAAAACCTGATAACTAATTTCCTACAGGAATTAAATTATTCTTTTGAAACTCTAATTAGAGATAGAGAAGAAAATACATTGTGTTTCTGATGATACTATAAATTATGACAAGAAATGTTAATCAACATAATGGAAACTATGAAAATTAATGCTTATGTATATGAAAAGAGTGTTGAAAATATTCTTTATGAAAATAGAAAATACCTAAAGGAAAAGCTAAGTCAAAGAAAAATAATGTACTGAAGAAAACTCAGAGCAGAGAAATTAAGCAGACGTTTGGTTGAGGGTCTCCAAGAAAAATCACATCAATTTAGACATATATGTATATTTCACTGTTAAAGGATGAACAGAATATTCCTCAATGTCTGGAAGTAGAAACTACCAGAATTGAAATAGAACCTCTACAATCAAACATAGGGGAACAGTTAGTTAACCCTTTGGATGCTATAATCGGACTTATCCAACTTGACATTTATAGGCTTTTGGTGAGACAAGCGGATTTACCCCACGGTGTCGCAAAAACTTTTCCTCATAGTGTGACAATTGGAATACTCACATGTCCTTGAATTTCCCGCTTTAGCACCCTGTGTGGATACATCACTGAGCAAAAGTGCAACTAGTGGATTTTTATATTGAAAAAGTACTAAAAAAGATTAAATTCTACATTTCTATTTGTTAGTGGATAATTGACACTTTTTGAGAACCCACCCAAAATGTAATTATGCATTCTTAGGCTTAAGCATACAAAAATTTATTCTCCAGTGACAGAAATTTTAAAGTCATTTAACAAACAATGACCATCTATATGAATCTAAAAAGTATTGGAGGGATCTTTGTACTAAAGAGAAAAAAATTAGGTTTCATAAGCAAATGGATTTGGGTGGGCAAGATCTAAAAAGAAAAATAGTGCATAATTTCAAACATTGAGAAAAATCAAAGGAATTTTTAGAAGAAAACAAAAGGAATGAAATCAATAAAAATCTAAAAAATATGAGAAAAAAATATATTTTAGTTATTGGAAAATATGAAGATAATGAAAGAAGATGAAAACTTGATATAATAAAGGACAACTGATACAAAAGCAAAAGACAGGTAAACAATGGGAACTTAATGAATAAAAGGAAAATTATTAGAAGAGAAAATAAACAAAGAAAAAACATATTTTCCTTAGTAGAGGCCTCGAAAGTGTTAAATTTAGGTTCACAATCTTTGTCAAGAGAGAGGAAATTAAACTTCTAAAGAGAGGACTTATCTATGCCTCAAATAGTAAACCACATGAATTTAAAATTAAGGAAGATATTTATGAATTTATTAGTAAATTAAGATTAACAGAATTTTTTAAGAATAATAGTGATAATGATGCATCCTTGAAACAAATAAAATGTAATTTTGTACCTTCAAAAGGAAGGAACCTAGAACTTGATATGATTTGTAATCATATAGAAAATAGGTATTATAAAATTCATCTGATTAAAGATAATATTTCAGTAAAAGAAAGAAATGCAATAAAAAGTGTAGAAGAGGTTTTCATTAAAAAAAGTGAAAAACGTAGTTTTTGTTATCATGGATCAAGAGTATTATCATAATATGGTTTTAGAACATTTAAATGATAAAAAACTTATAAAGGTACATCCTCCAAAGATATTCCAAAATTTGTTAAGAAAGGAAAAGAAGAAATTAAAGATTATATAAAATAATTTAAATATGTATATACTAAGAAAGAAAATTATTATTTGTTTAATAATTATAAACTAGGAATATTTTATATATTACCTATAGTTCATAAAAGAAGTTAAAGAAATTTTTGGAAGACCTATTATACACTGAAAAACAAGGTGTTTAAACCATTAAGCCCTATGGACATAATTCTAAAACCATTTACATCTAAATTACAATGTAATAAAAGAGATGATATTGATTTTATTAATCACTCACCAGAGAAAATTAAAAAGATATTTTAATATTGTTAGATGTAGTTTCTCTATCCATGTATCAAATATGAATATAGTACAAAAGCTATTGAATATTATTTCGATAGATACCCAGATTTATTACTTCCACATTTTAATAAAGAAGTGGTAATTAAAGGCTTAAAACTTATTTTATGTAATTAATACTTTGTTTATGAAGGTAATATATATCAACAAATCTCTAGAATGAGAAAAAAAGTGGCTCCAACTTATGCCACTTTAGTGAAGGAATATTTTGAAATTCAAATGTTCAATAGTTTATTAAATTATTTTGAAGGTAGTTATATTGCTTACTTAAAGCAAAATTGGAAAATATTACTAGATAATTATTTTCTATTATAGAACAGATCCTTTGATTTTGGAATATTTTTGAAAATTTGAATGAAATTAACCCTAACATAAAGTTTACTTTTGAAATGTGTAACTTAGGTTTATCTTTTTTAAATATATGGATTATAAAAAAAAGAAGCTGATAAGATTGAAACAGATTTATATTACAAACCTACAAATTCACACCAGTATTTAGACTTTTATAGTAATCTTATATATGTGTATACCAAATTAGATATTTACTTACTTTGTCTAGATCAAAGACTTTTTTCTATTGTTTCTAACCCAGAAGTTCAACAACAAAACTAATAGAATTAAATCGTTAGACACTTTAGAAAGTGTCATTATCCAGAAAATGTAATAGAGAGAGGTTTTAAGTTAGCTAAGATTAAAAAGGATATTAACAATAATCATAAAGATAATATAACAGAAGAACAAATTATTGCATTGATAATAACACATTACTTTGGAGTTAAAATTAATCGTAGTGATATACAAAAGGAATTGGAAATAATTTCAGATAACTTTAAAAACTAAGTTTGAAAAGAAAAAAATCATTTTATCAGAAAGTCAATCCAAAAGTTTATATGCTAAAACATGTATAAAAAAATGCTTGAAGTTTTACATTGTTAAGTAGGTCTTGTTAGAGAGAGAACCTTATTTTAGAAACTGAAGAGTATTCTGAAAGATACAAAAAAGGTATTTATGCTTTTATGTATGTGTGTTTTAATTATTTATTTTAAAGATATTTTTATATTATTTCATTTTTATTAATCACCTCCTTAGCAAAGTATTCCTTATACATATTTATATGTGTGTGTGTATATATATATAGTTTTTAATGGAGTAACATATTTTAAAGTTTAACAAAATACCTAACAATGTGTTGTACCGTGTTTCGGTTCATGGGGAGTTTAAGAATATTGGTGAGTTATGTAAGACTAGTGAAATACGTTTAGAAAGTGATTTACCCACAGATGTGTGGTATATATTGATGTGCTATAACTATGTTGTCAAAAAATTGAATTTGTTATAGATGTTTTGTTCCATACCAAAATTTCTGTTACTCACATATGTGGTTAATGTTCACTTTTAAACAGGAATATGTAATAGAATAAATTATATTCAGATATGAAGTATATTTTTTGCACTAAGTACAAAAATTCAGCTACTTGATAGAAAATTATCAGATTTTCTAAAATTTGTGTTTCAGTTTATTAATCTAATTAATACAGAGCTATAAATGATTTGTCACACATACCCCAAAAAGTAAATTTTATTTCTATTGATAGTAATTATTTAAAAAATTTTTTTCCATAAGAATATATTTCATATGATAGGGTGAAGTAATATTTTATAATGTCAAAAAGGACCGAGGTTGAGGATAAGTGATTTTTCATTTTTCAAGTATTGTAAGTGTTGGTAAGGTCACCTGAGAAAAGAATAAAATGTTAAGAGTGAGTTGAAATATATAATTCAGTATTAAAATTGTTTATATTTTATGTTTACCTAAGTATTTTCTGTTTCTATTAAAAGGAACCAGTACAAGATAAAAGAAATGCCGTCCTAGAAACAAAGAATGGGGTCTAAGATAAAAGCTTCTGTTTTTCAAATTTTGGGTGGTCATACAAGTGATGTCACTTGGTGTGATTTCTTTGGGCACACCTTGGTAACAGGCTCAAATGACAAGAATGTACGACTTTATGAACAAGATGATCAGGGGAAGTTCATTGAGTCTTCACTCTCTCCTTTAATTGGTCATACATATGGTGTAAATTGTGTGCGTTTTTCTCCTTATGGAACTTTGCTTGCATCCTGTTCCATAGATGGTACTGTTATACTGTGGAACGCACAGGTATGAAACAAACTTATGTACTTATTCAGACTGTATGTATATCTGATCTGGACATTACAAATAGTGATTTTACATTAGCTATTTTAAGCATTTAAATATATAATGTTCATACAGTTTCATAGGATCTTCATCTTGGAATGTTGTATGTTGATTCACTGTAACATAAAAAAATTATCTTATTAAAAATAATATATGTAAAATCACAACTCTTATGTACACTAGTATTCTTTTATTTGTTTGTATTTATGTATTTCCTTTGAGGTTTGGAATTAGTAACTTAAAGTAATAATTTGCTATTTACTACCCAGTCATTAAAAAAAACACTACAGTTGGTTCTAACAAAAATGTACATTCATGATTTGTAGTGCATACTGGAGGGTTTTACACATTTTGATAACTTATAGGAAATCAATAGCTCCTGACAAAGCTGTAATAGCAAAATATTGAGCTAATAAAATGACATTCTGGAGATATATGTCATTATTTTATTTATGTTCATAAAAACAAATAGATGAAAAGTAGATGTTGCTAAGAAACAAAAATTTAAAGTTGAAAGGATACAAGGTTTACTAGCAGTGTTAAAAACAAATTGTAAGGTTGTGTGGTATGCCAGAGTTCAAAAGTGTTAAACTAAAAGTAATAGAGTCAAGTGTACTGGTATGATGTATTGTTTTCTGAATAGTGGTTTAATTACATATACTACCCATTTCTCAGTTCATTTTTGGATTTTTTTCATTAATGAGTATAGCTTCCATATATTTTCTTTCTAAAATCTTTGGTTTTTTGTAAGATTTTAAAGAGAGAAAATATATGTAAGCTATACTCATTAATGGAAAAAATCCAAAAATGAACAGAGACAATGGGTTGTATATGTAACTAAACCACCATTCAAAAGCATAATACCAGCACTTGACACTATTACTTTTAGTTTAACACTTTTGTACTCTGGCATACCACACAATCTTACAATTTGTTTTTAACACTGCTAGTAAACCTTGTATTCTTTCAACTTTTATTACTTAGCAGCATCCACTTTCCATCTATGTGTTTTCTTTTAGCTAATCGTAAAACATCTTCTGTTTCTCTTTATTTTTATATTTCATATAAGTAATATATGTCATATGTCAGTATATCTGTATAGTTAGTATTATAACTGTACTATAATATTAGAAAAATAGTGAAACAATAATAATAATCTGTATATTATTAGATGCATGTTACAGCAGACTCAGAAATAGAACATTACAGTTTTTTAATTTAATGAATATTCTAATATCAAACAGTTGTATGTACTAACCCTAATGAAGCCGCATAAGCAACATTGGCTAATATAAAAGTTTCTGGACTATAAAAATAATTTATTTCTAAAACTTTTTATCAAAATGAGTTTTTGTACATTGTTTAAGGATATAATATAGTAAAATAAGTTCACCATTTTTCACCTTCTTATTTTAAAGACAGGGGAACAAGTAGCTCAGTTAAAGCACTCAGAAGGAAATGCGGCCATCCGAGTGTGCTGTTTCTCTCCGTCCTCTACCCTGCTAGCTAGTGGGGGTGATGATGATGTGGTTTATTTGTGGGATATTGGCACTCATTCCATTATCAGGTAAATGTGCATGCATGTGTACTCACTTTATATTCTCATGAGTTTAATAAAACTCATTGAATATAGTCTGGGAATTGTAATAGGGTTCTGTTTTCTGTATTTCTAATACATTTCATTAAATTTGTCAAAGAACATTTAATTAATTAACTGCTAACCATCTGACTCTTGAGACATTGGTGAATTATTTTTTATCATTAAAGTCTTAAATTCTAGTGTAAAAATAAAGCAGCTTGATAAATAACAAAATCATATTTCTCATCTCATATGGTAGTACATGAAAGGAGCTCCTAGAAATAATTTTGCTAACTTCGTAAATTACATTCATATGGGAAAATTCAATGATTTTGTAAAACAGTCCATATATGTAATTATGTATTAAATTTAGAATTTCTTTATACTTCTTTGTGGTTGTATACTAACCAGTTTTATACAACTTGACTGAATTTCATTTTAATTATTTTAAATTGTATGACTTTGAAAACAAGTATATTGCAGCTGTCACAATGTACATTTAATGGGAAATAATTATCTTTTTTTTTTTGTCATATGAAGTTTCATAAAAAAATTGTAATAAAAAATGTAAAGGATGCACCTGATGTTAGTTGATATACTTAAGATGTTAAATAAAAGAAGAGATATGACTACTTATGTCTACTGGATAGCAACAGGGATTCAAATGTTCTTTCATAATGAACACTGATCAAAAATAATAGGTATCTGATTTTTATTTGTTGTTATTGTTTTAAAATTTAATTTTTTAACATTAATATTGTAATTTATACAGACAATTGATGGGACATGAAGCCATGATCACTGCGTGTGCCTTTACGCCTGATAGTTCCTTTTTAATTTCTGGGTCAAGTGCTGGAGACCTGAAACTTTGGGATGCTTGCTTTGGCCATGGAAAATGCTTGAAAACTAGACCTGAAGCACATGATCTGGGTGTTCTTGGATGTGATATTAGTCCAAACTATCAGACCAATGGTGCGTTGATCTACAGCATATACCTAAAACACAATTACGAGTCATTCATTTTACAGATAAAACAGTTGTATGTGGTATGTGGACATACCTTTTGATTTTTTAAAAAATGCTATAAAGTTTAGGAGATAAAAAGCTGTAAGTATCAGCAAAGTAGCGAAAATAATTTATGTTGAATTCATAAACAGGTTATGTGTACAATAAATGCACAGTAAGTATTTTTTAAAAAAATTCATTTGCATCAGTTATATATGTTTAAAAAAAATTTAAACCTTCAAGTTCTATTATTGTGCAACTTTGCCCATAACAACAAACAAACTGTTGGGGAAAACATTTTTTCTTATTTTGATTGTAATTTCTACTGATAATTTTGTTTTATAACATTTTTGTATGTGACAAAATATTTACCATGACTGAAAATTGTCATGCAGTACTTGTGTTAAGACCTACTTAGTCAAGGTTTGTGAACATAATTTTAAGGAAAATGATGAATATTATTCTTCTATTTTACAGAAAGTTTGAAATATACTACATTATGTTTCAAACAGTACAGGTTTTGTTCTTCTTGTTTATATTATTCTTGTAGAACTTCAAATATATACGTAATATTAGCATGTATAGGCTTTAAATGTAGTTTTACTAAATTGTATGTATGATATTATACTAGTTATATATTGTAACTTGAAAATAATCACTAAAAAATTCTCCATTATTATTGAGCTTTCCACGTGTAAAGATTAATTAGTTCAGTCCATATTTTATTGGTTTGTGTTGCAAATACCTCTACAAACCTCTGAAGACTACCCCAGAAACCATTTGTTAACTTCACAAGGCCTGGATACATGTTCTAAAACTGAAGAGTAGTCTCCAGAAACACACAACTGCATATTACTCTAAATTACAAAACTGTTAAAAAACAGTTAAATTTTACAATACCCTATTGCCCTATCTTCTAAAGGCTTCTCAGTCCTCTTTTATAAGTCATTGCTTCTAGAAAACTACTAGTGGACCTATGTGAATAATACAAATTTAGTTGACTCTCAAATAATCGTTATCTTGGTTTTATATTACTTGTCTTTATTAATCCTTTCCTTGTTTAAAGATGTTATATTTAAATTTATTGTAAAAATGTACACATTTATATATTATATGTATAAATAGTAAATTTTGAAAAGTAAATTTTTAATAATCAAGAAGACTAGTGATAAAATAAAAGTACTTTGTTTTCTTAAATACAAAAAAGTATACATTGATTGTGATGGCTGAGAGTACAACCTTTCCATTCATTCATGAAGGTAATTTCAAATTAGGTAATCTAAAAAATACAATTTAAGAACTTCTAGCTAGTATAGATATTTTTTCATTTTCTTGAGTGTTTGGCTACAACATACCACTTAATGTAGCACTTCTTTAAAACCCAACACTCAGACAGTTGGCATTATTTTTTACATGTTAAAAATAAAGTGTATAATCTGAAGATAACAATAATTATTGTGCTGTTGGAGTAGCAAATTGAATTATATTAACTCTGACTTCATTATAAGATTTTTCAGTGAATTGTGCTGTTGGAGTAGCAAATTGATTTTATCAACTCTGATTTCATTATAAGATCTTTCAGTGAACTGTGTTGTTTGTAATCAGTATTCATGTTTTAACAGTAACATTTGTGAAGCTTCATTTTAGTTGAAATGTCTGTGAAGAAAGTATGACAATTGTAGGTCATAATTTGTTATTCTGCGTAAATTATGGTACATGTGAGTGTTCCATTAAGATAAGATACAGGTATTTATGGTTGTTTTGCATGTGTGTTAAGACTCTGGGTAACAATATTAACATTAGTCAGATTTGTGAAATTTAAGCTTCAAAATAAATGCATGTGTATGTTTTCTTTTATGACATAGCTGGAAGCGATTCTCTCTGTAACTTCTATGTTGTGGCAACATGTGGAAATGATGACCTAGTGAAGCTGTGGCATGTGAGAACAGGGATGCATTGTTCCATTACTTACACTATGAAGCTGGAAGGACATTCAGCTAATGTTGTGTTGCCGTTTCTCAGTAGATGGAAACCTTCTGGCATCTGCGTAAGCTCACTTAGTAGCATTTGCAAAAATATTACTTTGAACTTGTAGAAATCAATAATGAGTAGAATTCCATATTTCATCTCATTTCCGAAAAAAAGTAACACTTTTTAATAATATTACTTTTATGATTAACTTTGTCTGTGAAAGTGCCTAGAGAGGTAAAGAAACTGTTTGTTCTAAATATTTTCATCATAATCTAAAAACTGACAAAGTTACCATAATTTTGGTTGGGCTTAAACATTTATCAAAAATTTTACATTAATTCTAAAGAATATTTTAACAGGTTTTGAGAGTTATTAGTACAGAAAGTCATTTGAGCTTTTTGAAAGTGATTATGTTCAAAACACTAGTAATGAAGATAATAATTTCTCTGTTGATCATGCTCTGTCCATTTCACAGACTTTTTAACAATAACGCAATATTTCTATGTGATCAGACTTCTTCAGAAAACAACTGTGTCAGTGTTGATCTACTGTTCTTGTGTAACGTCCTTATACTGGCTAATATCTTGGGCCTATAACCTCAAAGTGTATGCTTAAGAAGAACAAAGACACAAAAGTCCATTAAAGTTGCATTGATGTATTTGAAAGGTATGTAGTCAAACAGGATTGCTGTAATTCTAGATCTGCATTCAGTATTTCTCTTGAAATCATATATTGATTTTGAGGTATGGCTGAAAGCTTGTGAAATTTTGGCTTGTTAATCATTGTCAACTTCAAATTCTTGTTTATTATCTTTTGACCGTACCAGAAGACATGCTCAGCTTTATTTCACTGGCTTTTTGTTGGTTGAAGGATTCTCTTTTGTAACCATATCTTCCACTTTGTGGAGGAGGGCATTGTTCCTGGTTGGCTTGGACTTAATTTTAGGATCTACTGCAAGTTACTCCACTTCTATGGAGAGCTCTGGAAACTCCTTTCTTTAGCCCTACATTGTTATCAGTTTCTTTTCTGAAAGAGAAGTTACATACTCCTCCTCAGCCACCAGTCATTTTTGGAAACATTTTACAAACCAGTTTAGTGTTGTTTGCTTTTGTATGTAGGACAGATCTTGTTTATGACTTTAGGGTTAGAACCATCCAAGCCATTTGTAAAAATATTGCAAATATGTTGCTTTTCCAACAAATTTTGAAAATGAAAAAAAATTAAAGAACAAGAACTTTGGATTGTTCATAAATAAGAAAAAACTAGAATGTTTTAAGATATATATATATATATATATATATATGTCCTGTTACTAAGATTAAACATTTCTTGAAACACAATCCAAATTAAAATCAACAACACTACTGCTCTTGCTTGAAAATTTTTTAAAAGTTAGAGTAAGTGAAAAAATGGATTCTGATTTCAAATTGTACCATTATAAGGTTTCCTCCAATATAAAAATCAAAGATGAAATACAGAATATTTCAGATATTACAAAAAATAAAACTTTACTGTGGCAAAGCAAGCAAAATAGCTTATCACAGCTACTTTTTTTATCTAAGGGTTGTAATAAAAATTTACACTTAACATCTAAATATTGTAAAGATTAGACAATCTATCATATAATTAGTATTCTTTTAGTTTTATTCATTATTTTAGCCTACCAAAGTTTTACTTGGTGCAACCAGTGTTACAGTTTCTTGATTTTAAAGAATCTTTACTGCAATAGAAATGCATAAATTGGCTTTTACATATTATACAATTGTTGTTGAAAATTAAATTATTGAGGTTTTATATAATACCAGTATATGATTTTGTTTTAAAGCATGATACTTAATTGTAACAGTAAAGAAAAGCATGTTGTGCATGAGTAGATAAAAATGTTTTTAATAAAGAAAAAAAAGAAAAATAGACAAATATACCTAATTAGGTAGTTCTTAAAACATAACTCACTGAATATTCTTACAGCTGATAACCAGAAGAGAAGAGAACTTAAGCCTACTAATAACAGGATGTTCTCACACCTTGGTCTGTGGTGTATATATGTCCAAACTAGTTTCAACAGACAGGTCACAAAGAACAAGACTAGACAAAAGCTTGCCCCCCAGTGGCACAGCGGTATGTCTGCAGACTTACAATGCTAGAATTCAGGTTTCGATACTCATGGTGGGCAGAGCACAGATAGTTCATTGTGTAGCTTTGTGCTTAATTACAAACAAACAAACACAAGTTTACACAAAGAACAAATCATTAATATCACTTTCACAAATTGTAATATAAATAAACAATACACTGGATGTAAAGTGATTACTGAGCATATGTGTGGAACTGATAAGAAGAAAATGAACACTTTATTGAATGAACTTTTATTGTTTCAGTGTGTTCTCCCCTCCCCTTGTAATTTAAACTAGACTATGTATTACGAATAAAAGTAAAACCCCTTGTTGAGTGTGAAGTGAACAATAAATTTTCTGAAATTCCATTAACTTTGAAACAATTTTAAACCAAAAGTTCAAGCATTACTTCAATGCTAAAACTTTACTCACAAAGTTCAAACACTATTCCCTTTGTAAAGTGAAAAAATACAAGAAAAAGTTTGCTCATTTAAGTTACTTTGCCACGAGTACATTGCCATCAAAATGAATTGAAACTAAGTTTACTTACAGCAAACTTCTAACTATACTAAAGTGGAAAACAGGATTGGTAGGAGATTCTAATCCAATGTGAAAGCTAAGAATGTTATGTGGAAAAAACATATAGTATGTTCCCATACCACATAACTATCTTGTTAACTTGTATCTACTGAATGTATGTCTCTGGGTCGGCATAAAAGTTTGAACACCTTGAAATAACCCCTTTTAAAATCAAGAAATTAATAACCATAATGCATTTTACTGCAGAAGGTTTGATAAAATCTTTGAAAATGGTAACTTATAATATAAGTAGTCATATGATAACCAACCAACCACTATATGCAATTAGTCACTAAGAGAATACAAAATCACTTTGTTTGTTTAGCACATTGTATTATTGTTTGCATGTATTAGATACCATCATAAATATATGTAACACTATGTTCAGTATTTATGATAAACAACTGACTATCCTCATAGTAAAAACTATCTTCATATGTCATCCAAGTCTACAGCGAAACACCCATCTTTCTTACAATCGCACATAACACTCATTTGAAAATTCTTAATCTGACAGTAAAGGAACTACCCATAAATGGTTTAACTTAAAAACTGTTAAAAATATTTAAATTTTCCCTAATATTTTCATGCAGAAAAATGTTCAAGGTAAGGGGGGTCAGTGTTATGTGGTGAATCAATTTTGAACTGCAAACTTTGAAATAACTAGGGAATATTAATCATTATTAACACCTTTTGTTATACAGGGTGATGGAAGGCAAAGTTAATCACATAACCAGTGTTATATAGGTATAAGTGAAATTCATTCATATCAATTTTTCTTTTATAATTATTATTATCAGTTTTAATTCAACCCGTCTATAGGAATTCAAGGCCAAAGGGGTGTGTTACAGTGCCCCAAGCATCACTCAACCACCAGGATCCTATCCTCCCCTTCATGGGTCACCATGCATGGCAAACACATGGGTGGATGTTTAGATCTCAGAGGAAGGAACTGAAAATACATAGGTCCCCTCACCACGTACAGGAATCTACGTCGAGGGGATATATGTATAAAAGGCAGATTTTGCTAAGTAGCATTTTTAACAATGGTATAATAGCATAAATACATGTTATAGTCATTTTTTTTATTCTCAGAGTAAGTCTCAGTTTATATATTACATGTTAAACATGAAACATGATTTGAGCATCAGACAAATAATATTACCTTGATACTCTATCTTCCTAACTAATAACTTGTCTGCTAAATTTACATTGAAACAGACTATGTTTTAACAGAAATCTCTGTTTTACAAAACAAATTTTATGAAATTATCAAGTGTCATTCTGAAATACAGATAAGTTGTAGAACAGTGTTTTGCACACAGTTGAAGAACAATGCTTTGCACACCAACAATAAAACTGCACAGCATCTACTACATGAATCGAGAGTCAAGTGATATTATGTTAATAAATACTGAACACAGTTTTACATGTATTTATGATGGTGTCTAATACTTGCAAACACTAAAACAATGTGTTAAACAAACAAAGAGATTTTGTATTCTCTCAATGACTAATGACAGGCAGTTTTCTTAAAGTAAGACTTAAGGATTTTATCCCCAGGGAATTAATTGGAAAATACTAAAACTAATCTAAAGCTCCTGAACTCGTGCATTAACTTCAGATGCTGTTTGGTTAGATACTTGTGGAGGCTATAGGTCAATAGGCTGGTTCTGTTGGGCTAGGGTCAACTGAGTATCAGTGTTGGACATTTCCAACTGGTGTTGTGGACATTGTTTCTGATGCTGGTGTTTGGTATAGTGCTCATGAAACCTTGGCATTGCTGCAGTGTCCTTGTTTAGCATAATTTTGCGTCCCCTTGTAGGACCCCATGGTGGGTGTGGTCAGTGGTCATAAATTAAATAAAAAACAGCTCACAGGTAAGCCACGTCTGGAAAACTGAACAGCAGTCTCCACCCCATTCTGCACCTTTACCTTGTTTTCTCATCATGCATTCTTTGTCAGACAAATCTTTTAGGCAAATGTCTCCCTTTCTTATTCAGAAGGGGTTAGAGGAGCTTTCTGGCTCTCCATAGTCAGTCAAGAAGCTATGTTCTAGGGATATTTTGGTGGAACATCTACCCCAAAACACACACCCCCCCGGTAACCGTTTTTTTACTTTT